CACTGCACTCCAGTCTGGGCAACAGAGTGAGACTCCAACTCAAAAAAAAAAAAATGTTAGTTCATAAAGCTAAACAAAGACAGAAACTGTCTCAGATTCAGGAAGACTAATGAGACATGACAGCTTAAATGCAAAAAGAATTTGACAAAAAAAAAAAAATCAGTGGAACCATTGGGAAAATCTGAATACAGTATGTAGACTAGTTAATAGCAATGTGCTAATTAATATCAATATGCTAATTTTGATAACTGTGTTGTAGGTAATCTAAGGCAATAACAGTTGCTGGGAACCAACTACTGACACAACATGGATGAAGCTCAAGAACATTATGCTAAGTGAAACAGGCCAGACACAAAAGAGTACATATGATTCCATTTATATGCAGTTCTAGAACAGGCAAAACAAATGTGCCTATTGCATATATTGCATTTATATTTATATATTTTATATAATATATTATGATGTATGGTATAATAATATAAATCATATTAGTTGTTTGGGGCAAGGGCATAGGAGATTAGGAAGGAGCACATGATAATCTTCTGGGGTGATAAAAAATGTTCTACTTTTTACTGGTGTGGTGGTTACATAGATGTACATATTTGCTAAAACTCATGGAACTGTATACTTTTAATAGATACACTTTATTGTATTTAACTTATACTTTAATAAAGTTGACTTTAAAAATTCATCTCAAATCTCTTGCATTAAGGGCAATTTCTGGTTTCTGATTCATTAAACAGACTATCTCTGCTTTGTTTACTGCAAATTTCAGTACCAAGATAGCAAAAGCAGCATGAAAAAAAGGAAGAACAAAACCATAACCAAGCTGAGACTACACCAACCAAACAGCCGAAAGTCATATTACAAATATTTTATCACATACCTTATAGAAGAAGTACTGTACAAGGTGTGCTATTCTTACATAATATAGATGTCCATGAGCCAATAGCAGTTTCTTCAAATGTTTAAACTTTGGAACAGAATAATCACTATTCCTGGCTGCTTGGCGACCTTCTTTGCCTTTAATACCTAAAAGAGAATATTTCTATAAAATGAGTATTTTATATAATAAAAAGCCTCCTGATGTTGTTATATTTTCAATTTGCTTTAATGTTATAGTTCAATTGTGTAGTTTAGCTTTGCTTTTTGTCTTTAACCAAAAAAGAGTTTTCTTTAATAGTGACACCAAGGGTTACCCAATAAAAGTAAAACTAAGTTTAACTGATAACTTCTTATTTGTAACACATAGTATAAAACAATTAAATAGAAGTATCATTTCAGTAATCAAAAGGCAAAAATTATCCGGAGAAAAAAATTCAACCTGAAAATTATTTTTAAGACACTCAGTAAGTGCTCAATTGTGCATGATAGTAGACTAGGTGCTATTTTAAGGCAACTCAGAGACCTGGAGTTTGTGGTCTAGGAGCTTAATAAGATGGTTAAATCTTTTCATTGAATAAAACTGACTAGCAGTCGAAGCATTTCATGGATCAGTCAGTTTTAGAACATTTCCATACTGGATAACCAATGAGTGGAACTTAGTTTCACACTAAATAGAACCATTTCCAAATGGAAAGAATTTGGGAATTAAGACTTCAGTATAATAATTCTCCAGATACTAATTCTATATCTGCACTCATCCCCCTGCCAATAAATTTTTTTGCTGAGGTGTTAGGTGTGTTGTTTCACAGCAGGCTGACAGGGAAAAAAAAATGGTACAGGTGGCAGAAAAGCTGTTGTTGCACGTCAACATATAAATTCAACAGTACAGGCCAAACAACCCATAAATAGTGTCATGTTGAAAACGAGTCAACCAATTATCATTTCTTAGCCCCAAACAGTTGAAAATCTCAAAAGATACAGTGCAGCAACATAAATTGGCAGTCTGGCCAGGGGTGGAAAATCAATAAAATTTCATGTATGCTGTCAAAGTAAAAGCTAAACAATCAATTGTGCTGCCCGGAGGTTTGAGAAATTCACTTTACTTGGCTAATCTAAAAATATCCTCTAACTTTGTATTGCTATATTTCCACCAGGGGTAGGATATGAGGATGGGCATGCTCCATAATCAGATGAGGCCCTTCATGTAATTAGCAATTATTATTCTAAAATTCAAATTCAAGATGAGCAACCAAAACAATCTCTCTTGGATATAAGACCACTCTACCTAAAAGCAATACTGATACCTTACAGTTGTCATTTAATTAGATGTTTCTTACCTATTCCCACATGGGATTCCAAGATCATACTAACATCATTGGCACCATCACCTATGGACAGAGTTATTGGGCTGCCTTTTAAATTCTTCACCATTCTGACAATCTAAATATTAAATACAAAGGAGGTATTAAAGAGGTCAAAGAAGAATATGAGATTATTTTTAATTGTTTTTTGTTTTTTTTTTTCATATTTTCTATCCACAGGTGTTTGAATACACAGATGTAGGACCCATGGATTACAGAGGGCCAACTGTATATACAATAGTCTCAAGTGCTCAGATGCAGAAGAACACAGCCATTCAAAATGTAACAACAGCACCCACTTGTTTTCAGTTCTGTATACATACGAACTATCAAAACCTTGCCTCTCATGCATATTAGAGGTCAAGACATTTACCCCTTTTGTCATTGCATCATGTATCCTTTAAGATCAGATGTTCAATGTGTAACAGTGGAGGCAAGAAAGCTGATCTGGGGTAACATGTACAGGGTCACCAAAAGAAATGTTGGAGAACAATGTTTTTGGTTACCTTTTACTCTCTCCTCTCTGCTAACACTCTCACCTTCCCTAGGAACACTTCAACCCTTATTGCCAGGAATTTATCTAATGTTAAATTCTTGCAACCATTTGGATTCCATCTAAACTTTAATAAATCTCTCACTGCTCAACATGGTTTGATCTTTCCTATAGGTATATGTATTTTTTTTTTTGAGTTGGGGTCTCACTCTGTCGCCCAGACTGGAGTGCAGTGACTGCTCCCGGCCACCGCAACCTCGCCCTGCTGGGCTCTGGTGATCCTTCCGCCTCAGCCTTCCAAGTAGCTGAAACTACAGGCGTGTGCTACCACGCCCGGCTAATTTTTTAAAAAATTTATTTATTATAGAGACGAGGTCTCGCCAAGTTGGCCAGGTGGATCTTGAACCCGCAAGTTCAGGCAATCCACTCGCCTCGGCCTCCCAAAGTGCTGGGATTACAGGCTGAGCCACCGAGCCCGGCCAGGTATATGTATTTTTAAAGGAGCACATTAAAGGGGTTGAGATTTGCAGGAAGATGCCCAAGACGTGTGTACAAAGCCTGTCATTATGCCCTGAGTGTTCCTTCAAAATATGTAAAGGATATTGTGTAGCTTAGTACTGTGTTCATGACAGGTATTGAATAAAATGTTCACCCTCAGCATTAAGACACTTCTGCCTTGGGGTTCTCCAACAACTTATTCTGGCAGAGTTGTTTGTGGGCAGTGTATCATAGCATGTAAGCAGCAGTTCTCCTCCCCTATATTTTAGATAATCACTGTTTGATGTGTCAATCCTTAAAACCCCTCGAAATCTGCAATTTTTAAAAAAGTTTAAATAATTCAGTAGCTAAATGATACTGTCCTCAAGATTGTTCTAATCAGTTAACATAAATAAATCAATTTTCAAAATAACTTCAGCGATTGAAAATAATTGAAACTAAGGCACCTTGCAGTTATTTCTTTAAATATAATTCAATCAGGTTTTAGTTGTGTTAAGTAGCACACACCCAATTCCATTTAACATAAAAATAATTTAACATAAAAATGGCTGAAATGCCAGCTTTTCCCCAGTCCTTTACCCTCAACTTGGTTCTATCAGAAATAACCTGTAAGTGAAAGAGTCAAAGACAAAATTAAAGAATTTAAACTAACTTTGTTTTTGATAGGCTACAATACTGGTTAAATAATTGCACCCGTTATATTATGTGTAGTAACGATCTGCAACTCAAGGAAGAAAAACCACACCAGGGGAGGTCTGGGGAAGGCAATAAAATTATCAAGAGTGACAGCTTCCACATGAAGATATAGATTAAAAAGAGTAAAACTTGTCATTATGAAAAGACAAAAGAATATATAATCATGGATTATAAAATCATGAATGATTAAGACAGGTAAACATGGAGTTTTTCACTGAGTTTCGAGTCAACTGGATTAAGACCATTTCTTCAATCTCTAGAATAAGTTTCATGAAAAAGAAATAGTTTTCCTCCATAACTAGTCAACTATAACTGCTTATTATACATTGTGCAAAGCAATGTATTAACATCCAAAAAAGATATAAGGCTTGGTCACACACCTTATGAAGCATCTAATGAAGTAGTAGAAATAAGTCACCACGAGTAGAATAATATTAGATAGCCAGATTAATAATATAAGACAACAAAATATAACATTTGTGCAGGAATGTAAATACAGGTAAAGACAGTACATGCTGAGAAAATAGATCTAGCCGGGCTCGTGGCTCAGCCTGTAATCCCACACCTTTGGGAGGCTGAGGTGAGTGGATTGCCTGAGC